GCAGCTTGATGATGATGATGATGATGATGATGATGATGATGATGATGATGATGATGATGATGATGATGATGATGATGATGATGATGATGATGATTTTACCCGTTTATTTTCGATTTTAGCACCAACTGTAGATCCCCTTAGGAAGACACATCCGTCGCTCCCTCTCCTAACAAGAGTGACCAGATTTTGAAGCTAAATTGTCATCACTTCCCTTATATTTGATAAAGGTTTGCCGACATATCACATGGGGGCTGCTTCTGCCTGATTGATGACTGTGATAGCGTTATGAACTCTATCCTATACTAGCAGCTCCTTCTTTACTCTCAAATACCCATGGTCCTTATCTCTCTTCTGTCCTATTTTGTATCTTACTCTCTAATAACACTCATAATCTTCGGCACTAATATGTCCTAATTGTGATGCACGTGTCGTAAAACCCTTACTAAAACTTAAACTAAACTAAACATGTGTCAAAAAACGCTTACTCAAACTCGAGCCACATTAATTCTCTGCTTCTATGAACCTTGAGGACGACTTAATGATGGTACTTAAAGATGAGGATGATGATGATGATGATGTTCACCTTAGTTTATAAGACTTTAAGAGAGAAATCAGGAGAGGTAAGTAAGTAGAGTGGGCATGCTGTGCGTGAATTTTAGTTCAGAGGCTTAAGTTTTGTTATGCTAAACCTAGAATAATATATCTTCAGATAAGAAGTGTTGTTAACTATTAAATGAGAGCAGAAAAGAATGTGCCCATTTAAGAAAAAAAAAACCGCCGCACTACACCACCCCCACCCCCACCCCTTGTTTGTTGAACTGTTAAGCTCTTCATCTCTCTAAAGTATAAAGTAAACCATCTGCCCATGTGTGCAAACATTAAACAATCATCAAAAAATGTTTTGCTTTTTTTCAGATTTCCACGAACCAACATGGACCAAACCATCGCAAAAGTGATCTGCCTGGTCATCCTGTTTGTGACCACCCTTATTTTCGGCTGGCTACCTTACTTCATCATCAAAAGGGGCGGCATGTCCCCTAGGGCCGTCCACATCCGATCACAGATCATATCATACCTAAACTGTTTTGCCGGTGGTGTGTTTCTGGGAGCATGTCTGCTACATATGTTGGCGGAGGGCAGAGAGACCATGGAGGATTACTTTAAAGATGTGAGAGCCAGCGGTGTTTCGGGGGGGGGGGTTCTCTACTTGTGTGGACGTTGGTATTGTTTCGTGGGTTTTTCGGTGAGGGGTGTTGTCTTTGTTTGTGTCATATCTTGTTTTGTGGGTGGACTGGGCGTGGGGTTCACTCGTCAATAGATTTCATTTCTTTGTTGCTGTGTGTTTGTTTGTTTTTTGTGAGAGGGATGAGGTTTTTCTATTTTGGTTTTTGGATTTTTTATAGTGGGGGTTTTTTCTCGACGGGGTGGGGGGGAGGTATTTATTTGCTTTTTTAGGGGGATGAGTCGTTTGTTTCGCATTTGATCAGGGCTTGTTTTTAGAAGACAATACTGACTTGTTAGTTTTGTTGTACCGATCCTTATTATGAGAGTGTGAGAAAGCTATAGCTGAAGACAGTGTGATCTCTTTAATCTGGGCCTGACTGTCTCCAACATAATAACAATGCATTATTAATTTCCTAAACTGTGTTCTCTTACGTTTTTTCGTTCACCAAGGAGAGCACCATTTGACTCCGTTTGAGCAAATGACATGCGAGGGGGCAAATTTGCACAGTCCATTCGACTATAGCCAGACTGGGATTGTGTCCTTCTTTTGGGCAATGTAGTGCCTACGGTGCACACACTTTGCAGCGAAGATTTTATAAAGAACAAAGGGTTCTTTGTGATAGTGTGCAGTCTAAGAGTATGTATAAGTCTGTGGTCTCCAGTCATCAGTTTCAGTCACAGTAGTGACCCTAGCACATCCAATGGAGCAAAATGTGGAACATTCACTTGAGAACGATTGTGACAGTTGCTTAAACGGTGATTCCTTGTCTTTCATTGGGTGGATTGGGGAGGACAACAGTATATTCAGTCGAAATCATTAAAAACATCAACTCGTTGTCGAGGAGAAAAGAGGCTGTCTTAAACAGGTGGACCTCTTGAACAATTCCGTTTTGATATTATTTCTAAAAACGCAAGGAAGGGGGGGGGGG